CGTGTAGAGGGTAGAACCTGAGGTGGGGCCTTGTGCGCAAACTCTGACATGCGGCTGTGATTTATAAAGGAAAGATGTGCAGAAACATGCGTACGCATGGTTTTATAAATCTGAATTTTTTTTGGCGTACGCCATTTCCGCCTTTTGGCCGTACGTTCACTTTTAGTATGGTTTCCATGCAATCCTTTATAAATGAGACCCCAGATAATTATTTAATCAGCTCTGACTGAACAACAACTTCAGAATCAACATGCATGTAGCATCCATGTTTACGGTGAGCAGTGAGCTGAATGTGACGTCACGTCTTCTGCGCATGCGGGTCGCATCAGTGTTGTGGAGAGTTCACAGTGGAGTCAGATGGAGGTCACATCTGAGCAAAAAATCAGAATTGAGCATTAATACCTGAGTGGGAGTGTTATCTGTAGACATGTTCAGCATTAAATTTATTCCTGGTCAAACTGCCTCCCTCTCTGACAATAACTCCCCCATCCCCAATGCCACTCATTTTATTTTAATCTCCTTCCAAAGTCAGATAAGAAACAGGTCAGTGACAATAACGCAAAGGTTGGTAAGATTTTTGTTTTGACTGTATAATGCCAAGCATCAAATGTCTGACTCACTGAAGAACAAGTGCTCTAACCACTGCTCCACAGCTGTCTGTGTGCAGACACAACTGTTTAGAGAGAGAAAACAACTAGGGCTGCAACAACGAATAGATAAAAATCAATAAAAATTGATTTATTAAAAGTGTTGGCAACAAATTTCATTATTGATTTGTTGTGTCGCGCGATTTATGCATCCCTCGCCATGTCGCGGAGCCATTTACGTCATCCGCAAAGCGTTGTCAATGCTGGCTAACCTACATAAAGTTTAGGAAGAACAAATACTCTGCCTGTAAAGATCCACCCTCTCTGAGACTCTTGAGTGAAAAGTAGAGACTCTGAACTTTGAACCAGTTTTTTAAATTGTGTTGTTAGGCAAAGTAGATCCGAAGGTATGATTAAAAGGTATATGCCACATTTAATTATTTTAAATGACAGTGTGAAATGACGCGTGCCGCATCGCGAGGAGGAAACACGTCCCCTGTCGGGGGACCCCTCCTCTCGGGCCAGTAATATAAAACCCTCCAGTCTTTTTATTTTTTCCTGATCGAGACTCAAAGTTATTTGATAAGCAGCAAAAAGGTTAAGGACGAAGAAAAAAAAAAGAAAAAGACGTGAGCAGAACTCCAGGGGCCTGGGGAGCTGCTTCAGAACCGCATACTGGGTCATTTTAGCCACAGACATAACCAACAAGAAGGAAGCAAAACGTAAAGAATTAGAGAAAAATCATAAATTCTAAATG